GGCCGCTGGGAAGAACCAAACTCCCCGCCTGGCCCAGTGCCCATCCCCACCCCCCTGAGTGCCGCTGGCCCCTGGAGGGGCTGCGCCACCTGGATCCCCTCACCTGAAGGACACAGGCCCAGCCTGGGATCCTGGCCCCCACGCCAGCCCTGGCTCTGCAGGCCGGGTCAGGAGGCTCCCTGCTGCTGGCCAGAGTGGCCCTCCCTGACCCTGAAACAATGCTGGGCGAGGCAGCTGGAAGCCTGGGTCCCTCGCCCACCCTCTCCCCAGGGTGGTCACCTCACTCATGTTGTGCAGCCAAGTTCAGGGCTCAGGCTGATCCCAGCGGCGGTCCCGCCTTGCTTGGTCCAGAGTGTGGGTGTAGTGGCTCTGGGCCCAGGTGGGGAGGAAAGGGACCCAGCGGGGAGGCCGCCTGGCTGAGGGATGCCGCCAGCCTCTGGGCCCCATTTCTCTGTCAGGGTAGACTTGGGGTGAACCCTCAGCCTCTGGGACCACCCCTCCCCCACCAGCCCACTGCACATGCTTCCAGGTCTTGGGGGCGGGAGAAGGCACCCTAAGAGTGTGCCGGGGGCGGGGGCTGTGCAGGCCTACCTGAGGGATGCTGAGGAGGGGGAGAGGAGGGGCCCAGCTGGGAGCTAACCCCCTCCCCACTCCTGGTTCTCACCCCCCCCAGCCCTGCAGCTCCCACTGGCCAACGATGGGGGCAGCCGCTCACCGTCCTCCGAGAACTCCCCGCAGCACCCCACGCCCCCCGCCCGGCCTCGCCACATGCTGGGGCTCCCATCAGCCTTGTTCACGCCCCGCAGCATGGAGAGGTGAGCTGCCGGAGCTGCCGGGGGAGGGTCAGGAGGTCAGTGCGGGGCCATCCCCAGGGAGGAGCCGGTGAGATCCATGGGAGCCCTTGTGTGTAGGGGGCTGAGGTGGCTTTGGGTTGGTCAGACCCCCTCCCATGGCACCCACTCCCTGTTTCCTCAGCATCGAGATTGACCAGAAGCTGCAGGAGATCATGAAGCAGACAGGCTACCTGACCATCGGGGGCCAGGTACCACCCTTCCCTCGGCCCCCCCAGGGGTGGGCCAGATGCTGCTGGGAGGTCCAGCGTCGGGGTGGGGAGCGGAGGCCCGCTGGACCCCCCAGCCCTGGCTCTCCTCACCAGCGCTACCAGGCGGAAATCAACGACCTGGAGAACCTGGGGGAGATGGGCAGTGGCACCTGCGGCCAGGTGTGGAAGATGCGTTTCCGGAAGACGGGGCACGTCATTGCCGTCAAGGTGAGCCTGTCCCCAGCCTGGTCCCCGCTCATGTGGGCCCTGTGCCCCAGGTTTGGCACTGAGGCGCCTGCTGTCCTGTGCAGCAAATGCGGCGCTCGGGGAACAAGGAAGAGAACAAGCGGATCCTCATGGACTTGGATGTGGTGCTCAAGAGCCACGACTGCCCCTACATCGTGCAGTGCTTCGGGACCTTCATCACCAACGTGAGCCCCGGGGACCCCTCCCCAAGCCTTCCAGACTGGTCTCTCAGCCAGCCCTGTGCCCCTGCCGCTTCCTGGGACTGGAGCCTCCCTGGGGTGGGCAGGGGGGTGGGTACAGCCACGCACCCCTGCTCAAGCTGCTGCCCGGTGCCCCTGCAGACGGACGTCTTCATCGCCATGGAGCTCATGGGCACGTGCGCTGAGAAGCTCAAGAAGCGGATGCAGGGCCCCATCCCCGAGCGGATCCTGGGCAAGATGACGGTGGCGGTGAGTGGCCGGGTGGGGTGTGGCCAGGCGGGCGGCCCCCCGGCCGCGTGCCTGCACCCCCGTCACCAGCATCCCCACATGTTCCCGCCACAGATCGTGAAGGCGCTCTACTACCTGAAGGAGAAGCACGGCGTGATCCACCGCGACGTCAAGCCCTCCAACATCCTGCTGGACGAGCGGGGCCAGATCAAGCTCTGCGACTTTGGCATCAGCGGCCGCCTGGTCGACTCCAAGGCCAAGACACGGAGTGCGGGCTGCGCCGCCTACATGGCAGTAAGTGGGGCTCAGCAGCGCCCGGCAGTGGGGGTGTGAGGGCTCTGGGCGCTGCTCCCACCCGAGCCACAGGGGTACATCCACCCTTTCCCACCTCCCACCGGCAGCCTGAGCGCATCGACCCCCCTGACCCCACCAAACCCGACTATGACATCCGGGCTGACGTGTGGAGCCTGGGCATCTCCTTGGTGAGTTGGGGGGCGCTGCTTTTGGGGGCCAGGGATGGGGTCTTCTTGGGGTGTGGAAGCAGGCGCCAGGGAAGGGCAGGACCCCGTCCTCGGCCAGCCCAGCCCTGCCCGTCTCTCTCCCAGGTGGAGCTGGCGACAGGACAGTTTCCCTACAAGAACTGCAAGACGGACTTTGAGGTCCTCACCAAAGTCCTACAGGAAGAACCCCCACTCCTGCCCGGTCACATGGGCTTCTCGGGGGACTTCCAGTCCTTCGTCAAAGACTGGTGAGGAGCCCCGGCCCTCCACTCTGGGAGGCGACGCAAGGCCAGGCTGCAGGGGGTGCAGAGGGGCCTGCAGACAGGAGCCAGGCCTGGACCTGGGAGCCGAGGGTTGGGTTTGGACCCAGCCTGGGGGTGTATCTGGCCCTGTGGGTGTTTGGAGCAAGCCAGGCTGCGCCAGGACTGAGGGCTCTGGGTGTCCTGCGCCAGGGAGCGGGCTCGAGTGAGCAGGATGTCCCCCTCGGAGCTTCCCGGGGGAGCCCACCCACCTTCCCGACAGGCATCACAGTGCCCCTGGGGTTGGGGGGCCCTAAGTGCAGACCCCCGGGGCCTCCCTGCCTTCCCAGCTGTCAGCACAGGGATGAGCAGCCACTTCTTCCCCCAGACCCCTGACTCAGTGGGAGGGCCACCAGGCCCTGCTCCCGGCTCTCACTTCTCTCTCTCCTCCTCTCTCCAGCCTTACTAAAGATCACAGGAAGAGACCAAAGTATAATAAGCTACTTGTGAGTATCCGGGGCTCTCCCAGGCCTGTCCTAAGCACCCCCCCGTCCCGCCCAGCTGGACACCCAGTACCCAAGCAAGGCCAACAGGCAAGACGCCCTGGTCCTAAGCTGCACCCCTCACTTGGATCCCCCAGGAACACAGCTTCATCAAGCGCTATGAGACGCTGGAAGTGGACGTGGCGTCCTGGTTCAAGGATGTCATGGCGAAGACCGAATCCCCACGGACAAGCGGAGTCCTGAGCCAGCACCACCTGCCCTTCTTCAGGTAGCCGAGCCGGCGGCGGGCACCCCGCCGGGGGCTGGGGCGTGGCCACAGGCCCCCCTTCCCCACCCGGCCACCCAGCTGCCCGCCGGGGGAGCCCTGGGACCTAGACGGCCACCGAGGGCTGAGGACAGAAAGTAGGGGGCGCCCACCCACCCCCGACTCCCTGCCCCCAAGCCGTGGACAGACGGGCCCATCAGGCCCCAGCCCTTCCCGTCCCGGGGTCAGCCGGCCGTGCGCGTCCCAACCCCGACAGACACTGTGAACGGAAGACAGCAGGCCGCGAGCAGACTCGCTATTTATTCAGTTGTAACCTCTGGGCTGGGGCGGCCCCCAGGGGCCGGGAGAGAACCCCCGTCCCGCACCCTCCTACACTTGCAGCGCAGTCCCCACCGCCGCCTCCCACACACGCGCGCGCCCTGGCTCCATCTCCCTCTCTTCTGGCACCTCCCTCTCTACCTCTCCGGCTTTCCCAGTCTCCCTCCGGCCTCTGCCTCTCTCCTAGCCCAGGCCCAGGCCTCGCCACCCCCGGCGGGACTCCTGGGTCCGCTTAGGTCTCCGGCAAGCGATGAGTCTGTCGGCTGGCGTCCTCACCCGGGCAGGCGGGCTGGACGTTGACTGCAGCCGGCATGGGGCTGGTCTCTTTCTCTCTCTTTTTGATCTCAGGGGGTCCTTTTTGGAGTTTCTTGTATTTTATTGTACTTGGTGGGGTGTTTGGGGGGAGGGGGGAGGAGAAGAGCTTGTTTTCATGGGGTTTGTCGGTACCTTCAGAAACTTTTACCAAAGTCATGTTTAGCTGCTTGTGGTGGAAGCCCCCACCCGCCCACTGGCTCTGGGGGGCTGGGCGGGGGACCAAGCCATGGGGGTCTGGGCCACTGCCTGGGAGAGACTAGTCCCAAAGGTGGGCTTTGGGGGGCCCTCCCTCCGGGCTGGTGACTGGCCACAGCTTGCAGGGGTGAGTCAAGGACCTCAGGGGGTGTGGAGGGAGCCCACGGGGCCGTGGCCACACAGGGTGGCCTTCAGGGAAGGCAGGTGTGGGGAGTGGTGGCAGGTGGCAGGCGCTGGTGTGGCAGGGAGGAGGGGGTGGGAGCAGATGGTGGGAGCGGGGCCCATGGGGCCCAGGGAGGCAGGGATTGAGGGTGCGTGGAGTGGATGTGGGGGGTCTGAGGACGTGTGACAGGGACAGAGGTGGGGCAGGCCAAGGGCTGGGCGTGTGGAGTCTGTCACGCCCTTGTGGTGCCCCTGAGCGCCCCTCGACTCACCCAGAGCTGGCCAGTCCCCGGCCCACCCCGGGGGGCCCTGCAGCAGCCAGAGCAGGAGGGAGTGTGTTTCCTTTTTGTTGGTAATGCATGCAAATCAAGTGGACAACAAAACAAAATAACAAAAAGAAAAAACCCCACAAAACCCAACCAACACCAAAGGTGAGGAGCCTCGCTGGAAGTGGCCGAGGTGACCTAGACCAGGTATCCCTGTCCCTCCCTCTCTCCCACTGACTCCTTACTACTAGGATAGTCACAAAACTCCGCATGTTGAAAAAGTACTCGGTCATCTTCTCTCTGCCTCCCCCTTCCTTGGGGTCGGGGGGGGGGGTGGCCACCTTCTCTTTCTCCCCATCCCCTTTGTAGGGGGATGGGGGCAGGGTGGGGGCAAACGGGCCTGGCCTCGCCTCCCCTGGCCAGGCTCCGCCTCGGGGGCCCTCTGTGAGTAGCCGGGAAGGCCTTGTGGCTAGCCCCAAGGGCCGCTGGGGCCTAAGGCCAGCTGCCGGGGTTTATTTTTATTTAACTTTATTTTCTGTTTTGTGAGTGTGTGTCCACCCGTCCCCCCCGCCCCCATCCCCTTCAGTGTTAAGCGAGAGCCTCTCCTTCCCCCGCCTCTCCCATGCCTTCCTCCTCCGTCACCAGTCACCAGCCATCCCTCTCTCGACCAGGCAGAGGGCGGAGCAGGCAGGCAGGGGCCTGGGGTGGCCTGGCTTGGCCCACCGGCCCACGACCCCTTCTCAGGCTGCCAGTATTGCCCCATCCCTTTTTAAAATGAAACACCCTCGTTTGTAAATCCTTAGACGCTCGAGAATAAAACCCTTCCCTTTTCTTCCACCGAGTCTGTGGTGTGTTGTGAGCCGGGCAGGACTTGGCAGTGTAATGGGCGAAGGGGCCGTGAGCCCTGACCTTGGGGGTGGTGGGGCTGGTGGATCAGCACCATTCTGGTGGATGAGGCCTCTGCATGGATGGGAGACTGAGGCAGGGCTAGGGGCTGGTAGGGTAGTGTTGGTAGTGACTGGCCCCATATCAAGTGGCCAGTGTGAGGGACCTCACACACCTCCACCCCAATAGCCACAGGCCAGGCGGGAGAAGAGCCCTTAATCCCTGGCAGGCCTTGGGCGCCAGCTCTGATGTCGGCCCGTCAGTCCACCGCCCCCACTTCCTGCCTCCCCAAGTGGCCACCCAGCCAAGGACAGGGCGGCCTGCCCACCTGCCCAGCCTGGGTGCTGCTGGACTGGTGCCTCTGCCGCCAGCCCCGCACGCCCCGCACGCCCTTGGCCCAGGCAGTCCAGCATGCTGGGCGCCAGGCTCCTGCTGCTGGCCCTGCTCTTGGGGCTGGCCACCCCGTCCAGCCAGCCACCTGGTACATACAGGAGCGGGGACATGGCCCAGCACAGGCCCATTCCTGCGTGGCCCTTTCTCGTGCAACCTCTTGTCCACCCAGCCTGGGGGAGCAGGTGGGTGGGAGGTGGGGTCTGCCCTGTCCCCCGTCTTCCAGGCTCTCTTGGATCCCCAGCTTCTCCAGCAGCCGCGGTGAGGCCAAGGGCAGTGGGATGGGCACAGTCTGTGCAAACACTACTGCGGCCCATGTGTGCCCATGGTCCTGGACCAGCTGAGTGCCTCCTGAAGGCAGCTGTCTGTATGGTGGTGTGGCCTGTGGGTGGGCGCTCACACACTCCCCTGTTGCCTCCACCCTTTGCTGCTGCTGCCCTCAGCATGGGAGTGAGGAACCTGGACAAAGGGAGAAGTCCCAGACCCTGGTGGCCTAGGGGGAGAGCACCTTGCTTTTCTTCCCTCCCCATGATGACAGCACCTGCCTACCCTTAGAAAGGAAAGGGTGGGCTCAGCAACCACCCCACCCCACCCCCAGGCAAACCGGCTCTGCTGCAGCCACAGAGCAGCCCCCAGGGCCCTTGGGGTGGAGAGTCCAAAAAGGGAAGATCTCTGACCTCACCCAGCTTGACCCTCCGCATCAGGCGCCCCTCCACTCCTTCCTGGCCACGGATTCCCTCGCCCACCGCGGGTAGAGCAATCAAGGTCTGGGAAGAGGGCTCTCCAGGGGGATATCACAGCAGCTTTTCCGTTGGTGCAAGGCTCGGAGCCGAGCAGGGGTGAATCCTCCACCACAGCTGCTTTCATTTTCCAAAGAAGGCAGCGGAGAGGTTTGTCAGGGGGGATTAAGGGGCAGCGCGCCCTCCCTCCTCTCTGCCACCCTTTCTCCCCGCCAGCGCCCCTGTTCCCCGCGGCGCCCGGGCCCTGGCTGCGCCGACCCCTTTTCAGCCTGAAGCTGTCAGACTCAGAGGATGGCTTCCCGCGCCGCGCGGGGGTGCTCGAGGTCCCGGCCGACAGCCGCGTGTTCGTGCAGGTGCGGACGCGAGGCGCGCGGAAGCCACGGGGTGGGAGG